CCTTCCTAGAGCAGCTCAAATCAGTTAACACCTCACTACTCCTGACTATCCAGGAAAGGACAAGATCCCTCATTAAGACCCAGCTATTGCCTAAGGGTCACTGAAGGGCTCAAAACCCAGAGGCTCTGTGGCAGGTCCCTGGGAGCCCACTTGGCAGCCTCGCACTGGCCCAGACATCACAGACCACTCTCATTGCACTGGCTATTAAGTGCCCACCCTCGACTAGGAATCCCTGGGGATGCCCAAGAGAAGGAAAGACACCCCCACAGGAAGGACAGGTCCAGAAACAGACTATCCATGGCTCCGATGAGGGGTCCTGCCTGAGGCAATTTAGGTGCCCAGAGAGTACTCACTCTATCAAAGTGTTAAGTCCCTGAATGTGTGTCCCATGCTTTGAAAATGCAAGAGGGGCAGTGAGTGTCCCGTCACCAAAGGTCTACAAGCAGAGGAAATGGAATGCTTGCCTCCCACAGATTTCTTTCTGTCTCTTCTTCTGGGCCTCTGGGCCTGGGATAGGCATTTTACTTGATGCGATCATCCTCAGCACATGCCTGACACATAGTAGGTGCTTGGTAATTGTTAGCTATTGTTATTAACCATTATGTGAGTTTAGAGTGCCTGTCCTATTGCAGAGAGGGAGAGAGCAGAGACAAATGGTGATTCTAAGAATCTGTCCCCTTCCCTGGACTCACTCCAGTGGCTGGTCGCCAGTTGCACCCACATGCAGCTGGCTGAGGGAAGGAGAGCTAGGCTCATTTGTGCTGGCAGCTGTCCCTGCAGACGAGGACCAAGGGTATGTGACTGCCTGAGCAGCCACTTCAACCCTAATATGTCCCTTTAATAGCCCTTGTCAAATTGCCATGGCTCTCCCCAGAGATTTTCATGGCTACAGAAAATAAACAGCCATTATCTGACCTCCAGGGGAATGAAGATTTCAGGGAAAAGCAGTTATAAAACTGAGTAGAGCCAGCCCACCCTTTCCCTATCAGCAACCTCAAAGCGAGTCCTAGCTACTGCCTAGGAAATCACACAATGAATTCCCTTCTCAAACTCTCTTTTTCACCTATTAGTATGCATATGTACACTTGGCTTGTGGTAGAACGGGAGAGAAAAGAAGTTGGTCAAGTAAAGAGTTTAATTCTTTATTATTTATTTATTCTGAGACAGGGTCTCACTCTGTTGCCCAAGATGGAGTGCAGTGGTACAACCATAGCTCACTGCAGCCTCCAACTCCTGGGCTCAAGCAAATCCTCCTGCCCCAGCCTGCAGAGTGGCTGGGACTACAGCGCACACCACCATGCAAGGCTAATTTTTAATTTTTTGGCGAGACAGTTTCACCATGTAGCCCAGGCTGGTCCTGACCTCCTGGCCTCAAGCAATCCTCCCACCTTAGCCTCCCATAGTGCTGGGGTTACAGGTACGAGCCACCAATCCCAGCTTGAAGTTTTTAAAACGTTTCCAAAGAATATAAGAATGAAAATACTCTTCCCTTTCTTGCCATCTAATTTGGAAAAGAGAAACTATTTTTTTTTAATCCCAAAAACATTTGGTATAGCTGGCAAAAAGTGTTCTGTTCTTATATATGAGACAGTTCCTGAAATAGGTCCTAGAGACAGAGCTCAGGGCCAGGTGGGACTTTGTTCTGGTAGTAGCTCAGGTGGCCAAGGGATCTCAGGAGAGGCTCTGGACTTTTTTTTTTTTTTGAGACAGAGTTTCGCTGTTGTTACCCAGGCTGGAGTGCAATGGCACGATCTTGGCTCACTGCAACCTCCGCCTTCTAGGTTCAAGCAATTCTCCTGCCTCAGCCTCCTGTGTAGCTGGGATTACAGGCGCGCCACCATGCCCCAGCTAATTTTTGTATTTTTAGTAGAGACAGGGTTTCACCTCGTTGACCAGGATGGTCTTGATCTCTTGACCTCGTGATCCACCCGCCTCGGCCTCCCAAAGTGCTGGGATTATAGGCGTGAGCCACCGCGCCCGGCCCGAGGCTCTGGACTTCTCCACATCCTGCTTTCTTCAGCTGTAAGACTAGGTGGTGACACCTGCCTCTAAACGACCTTCAACAGGCTTGCTGTGAAGATCACCTGAGATAAGAGAAGTGAAAGGGTGCTGAATGAAGATGCAAAAGCCTAAGCCAGGCAGCCCTGCGTGGCCTGTATTCACGGAAAGGTGCAATGCCCCAGCCCAGCACACAACCAGGGTCTCGTGATGACAATTTTGCAAAGCTGGTCCTTGGCTGATCCTCCCTTCCCAGGATGAGATTGTGCAAAGCCCATGCACAGGCAGCTGTGCCAGGTGTAGTCTGAGGGCTCAAAATTCCTTCCAAATAAAAAGTATCTTTTCATCCCTGTTGGTGTAGTGATTAGGGGGAAAAATAGTGAAAGAAAATAAACAATGTATCTTTCCATGTCAAGACGCCTGAACTTCCCATAACAGCTGTCACTTTGAGGAGCTGAGAAAGGGCCAGGTCTCCATAGGTCATTATTTTTACCAGGCAGGGTCAACTTCCTTTGTTAACACCCAGGCAGGCAACAGAAGCTACCCATGAAAGGCCAAGGGCCTACGGCAAAGCTCCCACGACTGGAAAGTATTTTAGCATAAGGAACAGAATAGTTTGGAGGGAAGAATATGAAAGTCTGGAAGGCTGGGCAGAACACTACTTGGACAACTGAAAAAGGAAGTGGGGACATTCCAAAGAGTGAGCTAGCCACTCCCAGAGCTTGTATAAGCAGGAAACAAAAAGCATTTATGGCTGGTAAATGCTTAACAACTGGCTCTCTGATAAAAATGTATGTATGTACATATGTACAGAAATTTATTATAAATTTCACTGATAAAGAGGATGTGCAGTACATAATTTATAAATAAAATATACAGTGCCATTTATTGTAATTCTAGACAAGCTTTTTTACAGAATGCTTTTGTTGATTTTTGTTGACTCTTGTGTCCAAACTGTTTGCAATTCAACCACAGTATGACACAACCAGACTACAAATAAATGTTTGCTACTACCTGAGTCAGCAAAGTAGTCACTCATTTCATGGAATGGACATGGGCTGTTAGTCAGTGGAAGGACACATGAGATGGTTCAGTGCTAACTCACCCTTCTCACGGAAAATGCCAGAAAGTTTCCATCCCCTTGACAGGCTTGGAGTCTTGAGTACCATCTGGGTGGGCAGAGCTGGCACTGGCATGATACCTCTCCACTGCTCTCCTGACAGAGGCGGTACATGCGCTTCCCAGGGCCACTTCCCAACCCAGGGAGGTTTTTCCATCTTGCTGGTTTGGTGAGGGAGGCTGCTTTTGGATTTCAAGTGGACACTGCTGGCCTGGACGGGGCCAAGGGGCTCTGCCTCTGAGAGCTGTTCTTCACTATGTGGCATTACCTCTCTGAAGCACAGCAGGCCTGCTTTGCTCCTCAGAATCCTGCTGTAGGGCTGGTAGTATCCTGAGAGCTAGACAACTTCATGTTCTCAGCAACTGATGGCCACTGTGGTACTGGAGGAGGGATGTATGTCAGGGCACTTTCAAACGTACGTTATTAGAAAGTTGTGTATCATGGCCAGGCGCAGTGGTTCATGCCTGTAATCCCAGCACTTTGGGAGGCTGAGGTGGGTGGATCACCTGAGGTCAGGAGTTCGAGACCAGCCTGGCCAACACTGGTGAAACCCAATCTCCACTAAAAATAAAAAAAAATTAGTTGGGCATGGTGGTACACACCTGTAATCCCAGCTATTCTGGAGGCTGGGGAAGTAGAATCACTTGAACCTGGGGGGCGGACTTGCAGTGAGCTGAGATTGCGCCACTGCATTTCAGCCCTAGGCAACAAAAACCAAACTCTGTCTCAAAAAAAAGAAAGAAAGTTGCACACCAATCCTGTCACCTCACTATAAATAGCAGAGGAACAATGTTCTGGCCCCTCCCTCCATTTGAGGTGCCAGGTTCTACAACAGGGTCTTCTCCGCCATGGACCAGAAAATAAGATAGCATTTTTTCTGCAGTAGCATCCAAAGCAAAAACTTCATCAGAAGGACGCCATTGGAGTCTCTTTCAGTTGAAAAGTGCATGCAGACAATGTAGTGTCAGATCCAAGGGAGAAGAAAAGGGGGAGGAGAACTGGGGAGAAAGGTCGAGAGTAAGGAGATGAAGGGACATTTGAGAATCTGATTCTTTTTTCTTGTAGAGATGGGGTTTTGCTACATTGCCCAGGCTAGTCTTGAACTCCTGGGCTCAAGTGATTCTCCCACTTTGACCTCCCAAAGTGCTGGGATTACAGGCATGAGCCACCATGCCAGGTCCAGGGAACCCGTTTCTCACAGCCGGGTTTCTTGCACATCCAGACTTCACCATCCAGGCCTGTGCACACAGACTGGGAGTCCCTTGGGTAGCAGGGGGCAGGAAGGGGATTGGATTTGGCCATGAGGCAGATTAAGCAACATCTGAGGGGAGTTGCTAGTGGACTGATGCCCAGACAGTGCAGGGGAGAGGGAAAAAAGGGGTGGAAGAGGGAGAGGAATTGACATTTTTAGAGCAGCTACTATGAGAGGAATGAGGCTATGCAAGAAAGAAAATATATAAAACAAGGACAGACTGTTGAGCATCTCTTCAGCACATGACCGTCTGGTATGTCCTTTACCACCATTATCCTCAGTAACCAGTCGCTAAGCACAGCCACGTACCAGCCCTGGGGCTGGGACTATGGGAGCTAGTTCTTACAAGGGGCTCACGATCTACTTGGGAAGGCAAAACCTAAAGAAATGACAAGTAAGCTGCAATAGCATATGCTCTGTCGAATGAGAGGACAACAATCAGTAAGTGTGCCGGGACTTAGAGGAAGGGACCACAATGCCCTGGGATGCTTGAGGTCCCCAGGGAGAGGCTGGGCCTTGAGCCAGAACTTGAGTGCTGGATGGCACTGGAGTGGAAAGGAGGGGCAGAGAGATTGTCCAGATTGGAATGGACAAGGCATAGCAGAAAGTACACAGACGGTACACTCAAGGTACTGTGAACAGCAGTTTATTTTTTCCTTCATGTTGTCTTCTGGGGTCCTTAGGAAATGACTCTGTTGTCCTTCACAAGTCCAGCTAGGCCCTGGAACAAATGGCCTTTAGAGAATTTAACAGTATTAAACTCCACTACGAGTAAATCAGTGTTGGGTGTTGTGGAGTATGTGGAAAAGTGCAAAAAATAGTCCCTGCTTTAAGGACAAGAAACAATTTTCCTTCTATCAAATGTCTAGGCACGGAGACTGTGGAATGACTCTGTAGCAGTGAAGTCTCACATCTGATAAAAGGCAGTGGGCTCTGGACAGCGTGGACAAGTCTAAGAAACACTGGATTTGCCATTTATCAAGATGTTCCATTTGGGGGCGATCCAAAAGGTCTTTCAGTGACTCAGCAGTTCTCTTCTCAGAATTGGTTCCCAGTTTGTGCCTTCCAATTTCTCAGAATATTCCTTTACCAGCACAAAAACTCATGTACAGCCAATGACCAGTCAAAGTCAGATGCCAAGGTAATGACAGACTATACCAGTAACTCACCCCACATCTGGTCACTGAATAAGCCATCACAAACTGTAAATAATCCTAGAGAGAGAGGTATCAAGACATAATGAAAGAACCAAAACAAGGATGTGGATAACTTCTAAACTGGTCAGCCTTGGTTGGACAAAACGGACGTCTGGAAATCTCAACTTGGCCTAAGAGAAACCTCATCCTGACCCTTAAAGTGCCAATTAGAGCTGAGTTGAAAAGGAGGTGGGCATCACTGGAGACAAAATGAAAAACAGTGTAGGCACCCACAGTGTGATGATGTGGTTATTTTCATGAAGGAGCAGTCTATGGAGAAGTACAGGAACTTTCAAAGTTGCATAGGCAGAGCTGCTTCTTATATGACAGAATTGGTAGCTGCTTGTCACTTCACAGCGAGACACACGGATATGAAACAGAGAACTGGCTGTGTGGGTCAGCAGGAGAGCTTAAGACTGCAGATTCTGGGGAATCGGCACTCACTGTGACACATGTGATCCCCTGCCTCCTCAGACAACTGAAAGCTAAGTGCATAATGAGCAGGGTATTTCTGGAGCCTTGACCTTCTGGGCTCCGAATTTCTAGCTGGAAAACCTCTTTTCAAGACAAAAACATACCAAAGTACATTTCAAAGCATTTCGAAGAATTAATCACATGCCCTAACTTTATAATAGAGGAAGGCAGAGATCTCATTTTTGTGACAGGTGATACATAATCCTTGCCACACGTTACCTCCAGAAGAAGGAACTATACAGCTAAACAGAGCAGATTCTTCGAAATTACAACCTAACCAACAAACAAATAAATAAGGCAAAGAACAGCTAGACCTCATCTTAAGATTCCACTTACAGGTCATCTCTCTATCTCTCTAAGCCAGGCTATTATGTAATCGAGAAGGAAACTACTACTAAAATCTGATAGTTTTGAGTGGTGGCCTTGTCTTGGATGTTAACAAAACATTTGCTATTGTTTTTCAAATGAATAGAGACGTGGTCTCACCATGTTGGCCAGGCTGGTCTCAAACTCCTGACCTCAAGCAATCCTCCCACCTCCCAAAGTGCTGTGATCATAGGTGTGAGACTCTGTGCCCCACCTGTTGTTTTTTAACCAGTCTGTAACTCAACTCTCCTGTTGCGAAAACTCCATTTCCTGACACATCAGACCCTGAAGTGAAGTAGAAGTGAGCAAAACTCTCACTGCCCTAAAATTCCCAAGCCAAGGAGTCAATGGAGCTGACCAAATAGCCATGGTAAGGTGTTCCAAAGGGAGGTCAGATATATCAACCTCATATAAAGAACTCTTTAAAGAACTGTACAACAGCTCTCCAAGCAAGTGAATGAGGTTTTTAACATACTCAGTTACTAAAGCTGTTAAAAATAATATCTGGATCTAAGTGAATCTGGCAATGTTATCTGAATGAACACCAATTTTGATCTATCCTAAATGTTAAGACATATTTTTGAATAAGATATTTGTGTACTAGAAAAAAAGAGTGGTGAGCAGACAGAGAGTTGGCCAAAGGAAAATGGATCAGACTGGCAGGTTATAGCTATTCTGACACCCTTAATAAAGTCCCTTACCTACTCCACACTGTACAGACCAGCCTGAGAAAGACATGTTGCCAGGCTACTGCAAGCATGTGTGACAGCCCAAGTCATGCTGCCTCAAGGTGAACTTGGAGATAAGTCACCTGTCCTTACGATCTCTCCAAAAGGTTTAAAAATTTCTATGGCTTCTCCTTCATCTATCTCTAAACCAACCAGAGGCATTTCAGAGCATTCATGGGTTCCCCAAGATACTGCAATGAAATAACCATGTCTCTAGCTCAGCAATGGTTCTGTCAAAGCATTATCTGTAACACTCAACTAGACTAAGGAATCAAGAATTTTGGGCTATGCTCCCAACTTTTTCTCTTGACTACTGAGTACTATTTCTTCCTTTCCGATTTTTTTAATTCAACAAATATTTATTCAATATCTACTATGTGCCTGGGTCAGTACTAGGTGCTGTGTCTACAGGAGCAAACAAGAGGAATACAGTCCCTCTCACAAAGCATACATTCTAACTGGAGAGGCAATACATTCAGACAGAGATTAGTGCTAGAAAGAAATAGGGAAGCAGGCCGGGCATGGTGGCTCACGCCTGTAATTGCAGAACTTTGGGAGGCTGAGGTGGTCAGATCATGTGAGGTCAGAAGTTCAAGGCCAGCCTGGCCAACATGGTGAAACCCCGTATCTACTAAAAATACAAAATTTAGCTGGGAGTGGCGGTGTCTGCCTGTAGTCCCAGCTACTTGGGAGGCTGAGGCAGGAGAATTGCTTGAACCTGGGAGGTGGAGGTTGCAATGAGCTGAGACAGCACCACTGCACTCCAGCCTGGGTAACAGAGTGAGACTCTGACTCAAAAGAAGAAGAAGAAACAGGGAAGCAGATTTTAGTAAGGGGGAAAGAGAGGGGAGGGGAAGAAATGCCCTACTTTAGATAGTCTGGGAAGAGCTCCAGGAGGAGGCGACAACTAGTGGAGCTCTGCAGGGCAAGTAAAACAAGCAACAGAAGAACTCTCCGGGCAAATGGAATGGATACAAAGGATCTGAGGTGGTCAAGAGTCAAGAGATCAAATGAAGGTCTGTGTAGCCAAATGTAAATGAAGAGAGTGGATAAAAACAAGGAGAGGTGACCAGACCAGGGAATCAAATATTATAGGAAGACAAGATTTCAATCAAAGTGAGATGTCAAACCCCTGGAGTTTTTCAGTGGGTGTGAAACCATTTTAAGGGGCAGATTTAATGAGAATCAAGTGTCCTCATTAAGGAGGACTTAGAGAGCTGTGGGTATGATGAAAAAGGAGGTACTCTGTGAGAGAAGTGCAGGTCATCACTAACCAGGCTAGTGTCTTTAGGCCACTGCAGACTGAGTTCCAGTCAACTGGAAATCCCCTCATTTGACAAGCACATAAGTGCCGCTCTCTAACAGGACCCACCTCCCCCCACTCTTTTCCAGTGTCTCCACCTGTAGTGATTAGGTTAGAAAGCATTTCTTTCTGCTCTCAGTCAATTCCTGCAGTGTGTAAGAAAGACTACACAGCTGAATTAGGAATGTCAAGAATGTTTACAAATAATAAAGGAGTCACACATACTAGAAATGACATTGTCACTAAAAAAGCCACACAATATTTCACTTAGAGAATATGCTTAACAAAAGATACATCTTAAAAATTCAGCACTCCAGAATGCCTTTTCAATGTTTCCATTTGAGAAATAAAGAATAAAAATTGGTAATAATTATAGACACAGCTTCATACAATAATCTGGATAATATGTGAGAGGCATCATAATATCTTTCAGATATTTCTCTTTGTGGCTAATGAACCACACATCAAAGGATGGACCAAAGTTCAGATGTACACAGTCCAGGGCCCCTCCCAGCACAGCAGCAGTGCCCTCAGGGATTTTCTCTCCCTCAGTAAGACCCATGGGGGATGGGGAGGAGCCCAGGAACATCACCAGAAAGTACACAACTCAGCTTCTTACCCAGCCCCTGGCATCATCAACTATCAAACCATTTGCTCCTCTTCGCAAGAGGTGCTCCTTTAGAAGGTCCCAATAATTTCTGCTTATATTGTTCAACCAGCTGGTTGAAGCGGGTTTCCGACTTATTTCCCTTAGTTTTCCTAGATACCTATAAATGAAAAGAAAATAAACATAATATAATAGATTTCAGAGACCATGTATCACCTTACCCTCAGGCCACCCAAGAGAGAAAGTAACTAGTAGGTACAGAGATCATGTCTACCAGGAAGGGTGGGGTAGGTTTCTAGAGAAATCTCACACCTATAATCCCAGCACTTTGGGAGGACAAGACGGGTGAATCACGAGGTCAGGAGATCAAGACCATCCTGGCTATCATGGTAAAATCCCTCTCTACTAAAAATACAAATTAGCTGGGCATGGTTGCATATGCCTGTAATCCCAGCTACTCGGGAGGTTACTCTGGGAGGCGGAGGTTGTGGTGAGCTGAGATTGTGCCACTGCACTCCAGCCTGGACAACAAAAGCAAAACTCCATCTCAAGAAAACAAACAAAAAAAAAATAGAAAAGAAAACTAAACTTGATCAAGCCATCAGACTGAACTGCCAGTTTACAAGTAATATGGGTGTCACAGAAATAAGTTAAATGATACCACTAGGAAGCAAATCCAAAATGTAACACAAATGACCTGGTTTCTCCAATAAATGAACAGCATGGAAAAATAAATGCGCCATAAGGGAAAATGGATATAATAGAAGAAAAAGTGATTTAAGAAATTAAAAACCCAAGTGTAATGTGGGACTTTGGACCCCAACTCATACTAACCAAGTATAAAAATATTCTTCGGGCAACTGGGGAAATTTTAATATGGCTTTAATATATCATTTGTGTAGCAGATGATATTAAGGGCTTCTTACTAATTTCATGAGATATTATAGTGACATAATGTGTGTGTGTTTAAGGCCTGAGCAGCTAGAGATGCACTCAGGTTTTTCTGAGTAATATGTTTCATTTTCATATGAGACACAGTTACATGTGAAATGGGCTTTGCTTTACTATCCTCTAGTGGGGAAAGCATGTTGTGGGAAATATGTGAAACAAGGAGACTGCTTTACAGAAACAGATACATGGCGATTCATTTTACTTTTTTCTCTCCACTTTTATGACTGTATACATCAACATTCTTTAAAAGCTACAGTACTACACAGAAGTCTTTTTTTTTTCTTTTTTGCTCAACTAACCAAGGTACAAACATGGCTACAACCTGGCAGAACCGCTGTATGTCCTGCAGAACTCACCTGCTTGGAAGCTAACTGCTGTTTCTCCTGTTTCCACTGGCTTATCTGGGGCTTTGGCTTTTTGGGATGGACGGGCTTCACTTTGCCTTTGTCCCGCAACCTGAAATAACACGGCTGAGTGTCACCTTGAGTCCTTCTTCTAACTGGCATCCTTAGGTTCTCTTAGCTCAAGAAGTAAAATTCCTCTTTGTACACTGGTCCTTCCCAAGCCCATGATAAGTTAGATCATTCTAAAAAGGGATACTGTAACAGACCCTCTGAAGGTTCAATATTTGCATACTTGTTTTTACGGGTATTTTTGTTTTTGTTTTGGCTTAAAACCTCATGGAGGCCAGGCATGGTGATTCATGCCATGATCTCAGTACTCTGGGAGGTAGCAGTGAGAGGACTGCTTGATGCCAGAAGTTTGAGACAAGCCCAGGCAACATAGCAACCCCAGTCTCTACTAAGATAAAATAAAAAAGTCCCAGCTACTCAGGAGGCTGAGGCAGGTGGACGGCTGAGGTCACAGTACACTATGACCATGTCACTGCACTCTAGCCTGGGCAACAGAGTAGGACCCTGTGACGCAGTTTGAATCTGTGTCCTTGCCCATATCTCATGTCAAATTGTAATCCCCAGCGTTGGAGGCCAGGCCTGGTGGGAGGTGACTAGATCATGGGGATGACTCCAGGAATGGTTTAGCACCATCCCCTCAGTGCTATTCTCATGACAGCGAAAGAGTTATCAGATCTGGTTGTTTAAAAGTGGTGGCACCTCCCACGCTCCTTCGCCTTCCTCTGGGCCATGTGAAGTGCTGGCTCCCACTTCGCCTTCCACTATGATTGTTAAGTTTCCTGAGGCCTCCCTAGAAGACGAGCAGCGTGCTGTCACGCTTTCTGTACAGCCTGTGGAACCACTCTTTTCTTTATAAATTACTCAGTCTCAGGTTTCTTTATAGCAGAAGAACTGAATAATACACGGTCTCTAAAAATAAATAAATAAAACCCTATCGGTATCTCAAAAGCCTTCGTTGATTTAACAAACATTTTGTAAAGATTTACTTTTGTACAGCGCTAATCTGCTGCCCCAAATAGAAACTACAACTGAACCTCAAATATGCGGCCTCAGCTGGCAGAGATGGCCATCTGGACAAAAGGAAACTCTTCAAAGGAGGAAAAAAGGGGCACAAAAGCCTGCCCTAGGAGGCCCTCTGCCACTGAACTAAGAGTGACATCTCTGATGGTGTTGAAGACCCACATGTTAACCCTGTGGGAATGTATACACCAAACATCCCTTTCAGCCAAACAAATGCCACAAAGAGAAAAGAACCCAGCAAAAACAAACCCATTTAGAAGCCACCCACTGCTCTATGCCACTGCCCTCCTGCATCTCACCTGATTTTGGGGCCTTGGTGTGAGGGGAGAGCCAGGACCTTTCTCCTCCTCTTTCCATCAGGCAGCTCCACCTGCTCCACTTCGGCCTTGGTCTGGAAGCCAGTCCATGAGGTAGAGCCTGTCTTCCTCTTCTGCTCTGGAAGCGCCTTTCTTTGTTGTTCTGTGTGGTGGTGAGCTGCCTTCTGTTGCTGGTCTTTTGCAGGCTCTGGTTGCCCCTTCTGAGGCTTAACAGTTGCAGGCTTGGATCTCATTTTTTGCTGCATAAAACAAGAAAATGCCATCTGGTTTCTGGATGAGCTTTGCTTGCTGCAAATACTCAGCAGAAGAGGGGCTTTATGTGAGTTAGATGAAAGAAGAGGAATTCTTCCCCTACACAGTTGGAGACTCAAGGAAAGTGAATACATGTAGTTCACAAGCCCTGCCATAGTCACAGACGGTTACTAGGTGGGGGGCACAAAATAACCATTTCCCCTTCCCATAACAGAAATAAGGGAGCATGCATGCCCAAGATTCAAAGCCAGTAGGTAGGACAATTATCAAAGGTGTAACCTATGTAGAAGGAGAATGCAAGAAGAGAGACAGCAACAGAAAAGATACTGAAGTAATAAGGGCTGAGAATTTTTCAAAACTAATGACGGTCACTAAACCACAGATCTAGGAACTCAGAGAAGACCAAATAAGATAAATACTAACCAATTGACAACTAGTAATTCACAGACCAACTGCAGAAAATCAAAGATAAAATCTTGAAAGAAGCCAGACAGGGGAAAAATTTTACCTATAGAGGAACAAAGATGACATTACATCAAATCTCTCTCTCTTTTGTTTTTAATAGGCAGCCTCCCAAACCAGAGGAGTTTCAGAGAGATTCCCCAGACCTCTCTTTAGAAACCATGTAAGCAAGAAGGGAGTGAAGTGAGATATTTAATATTTAAAGTTTTAAAAGAAAAAAAAAGTCACCAACCTACAATCTGTATCCAACAAACTTATCCTTCAAAAGTGAGGGAAAAGACTTACTCAGACAAACAAAAATTGAGGGAATTTGTTACCAGTAGACTTGTCTTACAAGAAATACTAAATAAATTTCTTCAGAGAGAAGAAGTAATGACATAGGTCAGAAACTCGGATCGTTATCAAGAAAGGAAGAACATTAGGAATGGAATATATGAGCTGAAGACAACAAGGAAAAGATGCTGTGGGCAGGAAGGCAGAGGATGCTACAGATGTATTTGCGCTGAAGTGGAAGAAACAGAAGATTCAAGTGAAATTAATGTAATGAAAAGTGTGTGTTGTTCTTCCCTTTCACTTTAGAAATCCAGAGAGGTACACTGATACAAAGAACATATATTATATGCCTATTGTGTGCCAGTCTGTTTCTAGGATACAAAAAAATAGTGCCTACCTTTCAGGACTCACAGCCAGGTGGAGATAAGAGATGCACACACAAATAAACCAAAGTTTAAAAAAAAACTACATAGCTTAAGGAAGTTCATGAAAGTCAAGTAAAGAGGGCCTTATATCTTTTGAGAGAGGTGGGGGAATGCTACTTGAAAGGGATCATTCTATCTGAATATGCAAAGTGAGTAGAGGTATTTTTACACAGAAAGAACGGTATGAATATAAATACCAGCAACAAATAATCTGGATGTTAAAAAACAAGGCTGGGCTCAGTGACTCACACCTATAATCCCAACGCTTTAGGAGGCCAAGGCAGGTGGATCACTTGAAGTCAGGAGTTCAAGACCAGCCTGGCCAACAAGGTGAAAGTCCATCTCTTCTAAAAAAAAATACAAAAATTAGCCAGGCATGGTGGCGTACACCTGTTGTCCCAGCTACTCAGGAGGCTGAAGCAGGAGAACCGCCTGAACCCAGGAGGTGGAGGTTGCAGTGAACTGAGATTGCACCACTGCATTCCAGCCTGAGTGACACAGCAAGACTCCATCTCAGACAAACAAACAAACAAAACTGGTAGCTTCAGAATCACCTCTGGAACAATGGCCAAAGGTAAAAAACAATTCTATTATCTAGGATAACAAAGTTGCCTTGACCAATCCTCAGATCCCAGATTTTCTGACCCAGGGCCATTGCATTAACCACCAGAATGGCTCATCTGTTGGTAACGCTCTTGGTATACACTACAAAGACTACAAATGTTTGCTCTATATGCAAGTTAGCTTTGCTGTATAGTATGAGAGCTCCAAGAATGAGAGTCAAGAATAATCTGGGCCTGGGAGAAGATGGGTAAGAGAATGAGTACTGACTGCATGCTGACCATGTAGTATGCTAGATGATGGACACGTATTATCTCATTTAGTCCTCAGCAACCATGTGAGCCGGAATTGTTTACCCATTTTACAAACTGAAGTTCAGAGCAGTAATAAGTGCCAAGGAACAGGTAGCAAAAAAGGACAATGCCAGAGTCTGAGCATGAGTACGCCTATTCCTAAAGTCCCTGCTCCACCCTCTATACCATGCCAGATTAAAAACAGTACTAAAACTATCAGGCTTCACACTTCTGGAGCCAATAAGAGAAAATATGGAAGAGATATCTGAAAGCTACAGGTAATGGGAAACCTTAACCTCAACTATTTATTTTGGCATGTACTATCACCAAACACTGTCAAGAACTACTGACTGAAAATAGCATTAGTCTGTTTCCTCTCTCCTTCCTTTCCCTTCTGCTGCAGAGCTATCAGACATGGGTCAGCAGATAAGACGATGGCCTGGAGAGGCTTGGGGAACTGGGAGTAAAAGGAACTGGGAGCAAAAAACCTAACTGAGGGGAGAACTACTCTATGAGGGCAGAAGCACAAACTGAACAAAATAGAAGAGTTTAATTATGTCCTTAAATAAATGGACCATTTAATTTCTGTACCAAGCTGCGCTGGATCCTTAGTTCCTTCATTTTAAGTTTTCTTCGATCTTCTAAAGAAAACTCCACTACTGGTCTCTGACAGAGGGAGACAGAATGACATTCATTAGACTTCTTAATCTACACACGCAATGAGCTGAGTTGTTCCCCTTTACACATCCTCCCACAACCCACCCTTTTTTTTTATCCACTTGCCACCCTTTCCCACCTGCCAAATGTCAGAGGACACTAGGCATGAAGAAGGTTGGTCTCCTGCAAGTGGTCCTCAGGGAACAAGTCTCCCAGAGGACGAGGCTTACCTTCTGAGGCCCAAAGATTTCTGGATTGTTGTTGATGTGGCGGAGGGCTTTCAGGGCATGTTCGTGCTCCTGGAACTCTGCAAAGGCATAGCCCAGGGACTGACCCTTCATGTTCCCATGAGCACCTTTGAGGTCTCGCATCACTCTACACTATGAGTAGAGCAAGAAAAAAATCAGTTAATTACAGAACAAGAAGCCTTGCCTGATATAAGCTGCTTTAATAGAGTAAGAAATCACGTTACTGGGTGGGCACGGTGGCTCATGCCTTGTAATCCCAGCAATTTGGGAGGCTGAGGTAGGATCACATGAGACTAGGAGTTTGAGACCAGCCTGGGAAACATGGCAAAACGTTATCTCTACAAAAAAAATAAAGAATTAGCTAGGCATGGTGACATGTGCCTGTAGTCCCAGCTACTCAAGACGCTGAGGCAGGAGGATCACCTGAGCCTGGGGAGGTCAAGGTTGCAGTGAGCCATGAGATGGCACCACTACACTCCAGCCTGGGCAACAGAGTGAGACCCTGTCTCAAAAAAAAAAAAAAAAAAAAAAAATCAGGTTATTGAAACATAGTCTTTGTTTATACTATCATCACAAAAATCACACTGGAATAACACTTATGTGCGTTCATCTTATTAGAATTCACCTACTAAGAGCACAAAACAGATTAAAATAATACTTTCTTGCTTTCTACTGATTTACAGACATCAATAGAGACCTAAAAATGTTTAAAAAAATGAAACACAATACAAACACAACTGTTCACAATACAAATTGAGAGGTACATGGTATTTTAAGCTGTGTAACAAGTTATCACCGAGGATGGAGTACTGTCCATAGATCTGACCACTGAAAAAAGCCCTCAGGAAGGAAATTATTGAAGAACGGAAAGAGGAAGGCCTGATGGCTTTAGATTAGAAAGACATTTCGAGCATAGGAAAAAGCCTCTCCAACATACAGCCTCAGAAGTATAGAAAGAAGTTTCAGCTCTATTTGCTTGCTGCTCAGATCGTCTCTATTAAGCCAGATGTAGTAGACATCTGGGTCACCAAAGTATGGTATGATTTTTTGAGAAAATGGATCATTTACATGCTATTATTACTACTGAAGCTGTCATTCTCATGTAATGGAGAGGGCTAAGTATCAGGGACACATGGATGCCACATTTAGTTTACGTCCAGTGTCCATTCTGTGCCTAGAACTGTCTAATACCATAAGGAATCAAGAGAAGCATATAATGAAGGTCCTGTCCTCAAGATGCTTACTATCTCATTGAGACACGCACTATATGTATCCATCGGAAAGAATTAAGAAAAAAATTCAACATAATGCAAATATTACAGAATACACATAAATTTCTCTAAATTATGACAGGTGTTAAATGTGCAGACATTAAGTATTTGGATGATATGAGAAATGACACAACTGTCCCCTATGAGCAGTTTTACTAAGAGTGGTGTCAGATATGTGCTGATATATTCACATTCTTTCATGTAATCTCCCAAATACCAATCCATACATTTTGAAAAGGTTTTAGTTTATGTTGGTGAAACAGAGTAAAGCAGACCCAAAATACTGGCAATGGCACTTTTAAAATAAATACGGACCAAAGGAGTACTATGTGCCAGGTACTATGCTAAGGACTGGGGATAATGAGATAATATTAGCCTCAAAAACTCAGTCTAGTGGGGAGAAGTGACTGATGGATCATTTCAGGCCAAGGTAACAGTAAGCAGTATGATAGAGATATGCAAGGCCAGGCCCAGTGGTTCACACCTGGAATCCCAGCACCGTGGGAGGCCAAAGCAGGGGCATCGTCTGAGCTCAGGAATTTGAGACCAGCCTGGGCAACATGGCAAAACCCTGTCTCTACCAAAAACATAAGAAATTAGCCTGACATGATAGTGTATGCCGCCTATAGTCCCAACTACTTGAGAGGCCGAGGTAGGAGGACTGCTTGAGCTTGAGGCGGAGGTTGCAGTGAGTTGAGATGGCACCACTGCACTCCAGCCTGTAACAGACCAAGACCACTAAAAAAAAAGAAGAAAAGACAGAAATATGCAAAAGGGGATGTGGAGGCAGAGTAGAAGTTCTGAACTCACACAGAGTCTAACCAAGTTGGTGTGAACCCAGTTTTTTTCTAATTCAACTGAACACCTACATGGTGTTGACCACAGGGCATAGGGGACTTCCTGTGTTCACCACAGAGCACAGCGGACTCTGACAATAGGGTAGTAGTCAAACACTCTTCCAAAAAGCAAAGCAGATTATTTTCTCTGCAAGAAAATTCACATGATAACACAAAGTATAATGCTAAGCACACAACAGGCATTTAATAAATGCCTGCAAATTAATTCAGGCAGACAGACTTCCTCACATTCTGCTGTAATTTGGTCAAATGTAAAAGACAATTCTTAGAAAAAAAAGAACAAAACCAAGAAACTGCTGAACTCAGCCTTGCATGCTCACATGTCCAAAAGAAAGTCTGTTGATGGCCAGATGCAGTGGCTCACACCTGTAATCCTAGCATTTTGGGAGGCCAAGGTGGGCAGATCACTTGAGGTCAGGAGTTCAAGACCAGCCTGGCCAACATGGTGAAATCCCTTCTCTACTAAAAATACAAAAATTAGCCTGGCGTGGTGGTGCCTGTGTACAGTCCCAGCTACTCAGGGGGCTGAGGCAGGAGAATTCCTTGAGCCCAGAAGGAGGAGGTTGCAGTGAGTCAAGTTCGCACCACTGCACTCTAGCCTGGGCGACAGAGCGAGACTTCATCTCAAAAAAAATAAAGGTGGCTCAAGCCTGTAATCCTAGCACTTTGGGAGGCCGAGGCGGCTGGATCACAAGGTCAAGAGATCAAGACCATCCTGGTCAACATGGTGAAACCCCGTCTCTACTAAAAATACAAAAAATTAGCTGGGCATGGTGGTACACACCTGTAATCCCAGCTACTCAGGAGGCTGAGGCAGGAGAATTGCCTGAACCCAGGAGGCGGAGGTTGCGGTGAGCCGAGATTGCGCCATTGCACTCCAGCCTGGGCAACAAGAGCGAAACTCCGTCTCAAAAAAAAAAAAAAAAAAAAATCTGTTGATACGCTGGCACCACAGCCTGAGGGAAATGCCTGATCTGAGCCAAGATCAGAAGGAAAGTTCTCAATGAACAGGGCCAAGTCTCACCTCCTTGATGCGCACCCCTTTCTCTCCTCTGGTAGCACTCAGCAGCAGCTTTCTGAGCTGTTTGTCATCTACAGCCTTTGGGAGATTGTGCAGGCAGAGCCTGGTTCGGGAGACAAAGATATTCTGGTCCTTGAGTTTCTGATGCTTCAGCAGCTCAAACTGAAAGAACAATCAATTGTTAACAGTACAACCCACCCTTTCTAAGAGGCAGGCTCATAACTCTCCAAAAGGAAAGAACTATACTATAATCCCCATCCCATAACCACACATATACAAAAAGGAAGGAAACTGCCCATACCACAGCTTTACAATGTCTAGTACAGGAAAAGAAAAGTTCAAGGGGACAAGACAGTGGGTGGGTAATAATAAAATCATAGGCTCTGGAGAGCCATCCCTAACTGGAGAAATACACAAAATTTTAAAGCCTCCATTTTTCATCTATGAAATGGAGCAGTAGACCAATGTATCTGGCACTGATGTGAGGCCTAAATGTGATAATATAAGGCTGGGCAAGCTGGCTCATGCCTGTAATCCCAGCACTTTGGGAGACCAAGGCAGGCGGATCGCCTGAGGTCAGGAGTTCAAGACTAGCCTGGCCAACATGGTGAAACCCTGTCTCTACTAAAAATACAAAAATTAGCCAGGCGTGGTAGTGCATGCCTGTAATCCCAGCTACTCGGAAGGCTGAGGCAGGAGAATCGCCTGAACCTGGGAGACAGAGGTTACAGCAAGCTGAGATCACACCATTGCACTCCAGCCTGGGCAACAAAAATGAAACTCCATCTCAACAAAAAAGAAAAGAAAATTCCTAGCTCAAAATGCAGCCCAGAGCAAATAACAAATAATACTGTGGTTAACATATATGCCTAGTCCTCATCTACCTACCAACTCAACTGATTATCTAATCCTTCCAAAAGGAAATGGAACTTATTCAAAGAATACTTCAATATTCAAAGAATGCTGTCTCGTCTCAACGCTGCCACCCTGAGGCAAAGGAATATCCATGACCACAGAACCGTATTTTGTTCTTAGAGCAATATCCTCAACTAGGCTGCCACAAAACCCTAGTTCCTGCGTGATCTGTGTCTAAAATGAAATGAAAGATGACATTCTTCTCCCAATTACTTTTTCAAAACTAAGTTGATAGAAAAAAAGTTTTCAATTACAAGTTTTTCTTGTCAAGTCTTCTCAGTCTTGCTGCTTCTTGTTTGGTAAAAGTACCAACAAATCCCAAAATAAACCAATCCCCTGGAAAATGACAATCAAAGGAACATCTGAAGAGGCTATATTTAAGTGCAACAGACTCTCTTTCTGTCAGGAAAAGCTGTGCCTGCTGTGAATTTACAATGCATACATATCACTGAACAGCTTTTTGCTAACAAAATTAGTTTTAAATTAAATATGTCATTAATGCATTGTGCTCACAAAAGGGTGTATAATGCCCCCAAATACCATGATTTCCAGATTTCACTACCAGAAAAGTTGAAAACACTAGTGCAGAACCTGTGCACACTGCAAAAAGACGCACTACAGAAAGACACACTGCCTCCTGCTGTCACTACACTCTCACCCCTGTTCTTCGTCTTCATAGCTGATTCTGTTCATGGTTATGCATCTTTTTTTTTTTTTTTTTTTTTAATTTTTTATTGGATTATAGGTTTTGGGGTACATGAGCAGATACCATTATAGGTGGGCTTGGCTTTTTGAAAGTAAGTTATACAGGAAAAAGTAAAAATTCCTGGGAACATTACCAAACAGCAAAGGAACATAACGGTTATTAGTTAACACTGAAAACGTCTTTAAGATGGGGTTTTTCTAAAATGATTTTATAATCTGGAGATTGTGTACCTTCTTCCTTCCCTAATAAATCCAGCCCGTTCTGATCTTCCCTTCTTAAGTTATTCTGTGCTTATACTGACACCTAATTATATGTAGCCCTAGCCTCTGTCTACATGTGTTCAGCAAACATTGACTGTCAAGCACTAAGGAAACAAAGACTAAGACACAGTTATTTTATACTGGCATAGAAGGCAGACAAAATACTATGTATAATGTTGGGTTACTAGCTGTTTCATCTATGTGCTTTTCTAACAGGGCAGTAAGTACAGTCTCTGACCATACTTGGCTCTTTGATGAGCACATCTAACATTTCATAACTATTTTTGATTGACTTATAGGCCATGTAGAACCTGAAGGTCAATGCCTAATCAACTCACCCGTTCTCTTTTGGCCATATCAGCAGCACTTACGCCCTCTGCAGCCTTCGTCCCAGCGCGAATTACTGCAGAAAGAGGGGAAAAAGGCCAAGATATCAACAAGGGAATTTTCACTGAGCAACCAAAGGAATGTGATTTGAATGATGCCAAACTCTTTGTACAGGGCCCAGAGGATATGTTGGCCAGGACATGATGGCATTTGGTTAGGTCCAGAAATGGGCTACAGGGCTAAGTTCTGGGCTCAGAGCTGCTCTCAAAAACTAAAATTGTGAACATTTTGTGATTTTATTCCTCTTCTCCTCCTCTCCCCTCCAAGAAGCTTCATGTACATGCCCAATGTCAGAAAAAAAGGGCTGGAAGAAATATAGAACATAAATACATTTTTGGCATTTGGAATGCACAATGTTCCACCTATAATCTGCCCTTGGAACTTAACTTTGCTGTTCCTTATGTACTTGAGGTCCATTACTAAGCAGTGAAATAAGCCAGCAGAAAACAGTTATGTTGCCATAGACAACTAGTGCTGAAGGCTAATGGACATTACCAGTGGCCGAACGTGTGCTCTTTCTGGGTCCAGAAGAGGGTGTGATCTTAAGGGCAAGAACTTCCCAGAGCCTTGCCCCCCACCCCAAGCCTCTCCCTCCAGGAGATTTAACAGGTCTGTTTAATTTTCACATGCCAGGGAAGAACCAAAAAGTCAGTCACTCCAGCGGAAGTTTAAAGGAACTCTTTTCATTGGAGGGGGCTTGAAGAAGGTGGGAATTCCTTCCAGGTTAAAAGTCCCCTTCTCCTACCCCGCTTTGGATTCCATACTTGGGTCCCCTTCCACACTCTTCATGGAAGCCTTTTTTTTCTCATCTTTTTCTCTTTCTCTGCCTAAATAAATCGCTTTCTGCAAACACTTTTTGGGGTCTGGTATTTATGAGCGTACTGCGCCCACCATGGTCCCCTCTCCCATTCTTGGGAGAGCCTGGAGCCCAGTGGGGAACAAGCTGAGCGCTCCCCTGCACCCCAAAAACACAGCAACACTAGTACAGGCTGTGAAGCTATGGAGGAGGTGAACTGATAAATACTGTGTGACCTAGAATTTTCTAAAAAATGTAAAGCTAATTTATGATTGTCTTTCTGACATTAAAGGAAAGTACTGGGTGTATATTTTAAATCCATGAATAATCCAAAAGAGTAATTTTAGTCATAATGAAAACCTCTGATTAGAAATGACAAGAAGCAAAGGTATTTTGAGTTCTTTCTCCCTGTTTGCCTTGCCAATCCTCTATTGAAAAAGACTAGTCAATCAGGCAGAAAAGAGAATTGGGATGGTTAACCCACAAAAATGAGTGAAGGTTTCCTAACAGAAAGCCACATCTATTAAAGTGGAATACTCATATAACACTGTTAAAGATAACATTTGGGTTTTTTATGTGAAACATGCTTCCAAATATACTATTGCTGGATCAATGATATGGCACAGGGCCACCTACTTAGAAGCCTGGGTTACATCTCCCTACCACTACTCACAGCCTTCTCGGGCCAGATAGAGATTCCGGGTGCCAGTCGGCTTCTTCACTTTCTTTGTCTGAAGCTTTGCAGCCTCATCACGGGTCACTGCCAAGTCAACCTTGAGCTGCCGGCCTCCCAGTTTAAGCCCACCAGCCTGTAACAGATCACAACCTTCTAAAAAATGCATAATGGCCAAGTGCAGTGGCTCAGGCCTATAATCTCAGCACTTTGGGAGGCTGAGGCAGGTGGATCACTTGGGGTAACGAGTTCAAGACCAGCCTGGCCAACATGGTGAAACCCCATCTCTACTAAAAATGCAAAAATTAGCCGGGCATGGTGGGGTGCGCCTGTAATCCCAGCTACTCGGGAGGCTGAGACAGGAAGCTGAGATCATGTTACTGCACTCCAGCCTGGACAACAGAGCAAGACTGTCCCAAAGAAAAAAACAAAAAAAAAAAAAAAAACGACACACACACACACATACAGACACTGAGTAGAAACTAGAAACTAAGCACCTGATAAGAACACCACAGAAAGGGAAAGGGCAAATACCAATTATGCTGTGGAAGCCAAGCCCTATGAGGTTTCAGCCCAGCTAGCTACGAGTGGATCACTGGGCTTCACAATATTTAGCATAGCTGTGCAAAAGGTCACATGTGTATTTCAGGCAGTCAGCAGTACAGAATTTATTTTCTGGGAGTTGATTAGTCCCAAACTGAGGAAAATTATCTGTAAACAGGCAAATGTCCAGTACTGTAAAGAAAGCTAATGAAATAATAGACTACTTACTCAAGAGGATTTAAGAAATAACAGCAATATTAGATAATACTATATTCGATTACAGAACAAATGGAATACTTCTCCAACACCCACACACATTCTCTCTCAAACATCTACTCTACTTCCTAGAAGACCTTACTACCTTCTTATCCTAGACTTTCATGTTATCAATCTAGGAAAGAGGCTGACACACAGACAGCAATAAATATCAGATACATTATTATTCCCATTTCCTCACCTATGAAGTAGAGATAATAATTCTGCCTACCCCAAAGGGCTGATATAATGATTAAATAAGATAATGTATGTAGGCTGGGCACAGTGGCTCATGCCTATAACCCCAGCACTTTGGGAGGGCAAGATAGGCAGATCACGAGGTCAGGAGTTCGAGACCAGCCTGACCAACATGGTGAAACCCCATCTCTACTAAAAATACAAAAAATTAGCTGGGCGTGGTGGTGCATGCCTGTAATACCAGCTACTCAGGAGGCTGAGGCAGGAGAATCACTTGAACCCAGCAGGCGGAGGTCGCAGTGAGCCGAGATCATGCCACTGCACTCTAGCCTGGCAACAGAGCGAGATTCCGTCTCAAAAAAAAAAAGATAATGCATGTAAAGTTCAGTGCCTAACACATACGAAGTGCTAAATAAGTGTTAGTTTTAGTATTATTGACAATAATAATAATAAATCTTTGTGTAAGTATCAGATGTTACCCCTAAGAGGCACTACCTCCTGTGTTACAGGGTAAAGGAAATATCTTCCTTACCTCATTCTCTGGAGAAGCAGCTAGAAGGCATTTCTGAGCTGCTTCTTGAGTCATGAATTGAGCAAATGCACAACCTGCACAATGAGACAAAATTCAGTGAGATCCCAAACTCCCATGGCTAAACCAAAGACAACACTATAAATAGCAGCAGCCTGACACAGAGTGGAAGGAGCAGGTAGCAACTACACGTACAGCCAGGTACTTGCATAATGATGTTTTGATAAGTAACAGACTGTATATACAACAATGACCCCGTAAGAGTACAGTGGATCTGCCCTATATAGGTGTTTTTTATCTTTTATACTGTATTTTTACTATATCCTTTCTATGTTTAGAAATATTTAGATACACAACTGACTACAACATTCAGTGAAACAATATGCTGTACTATATAGGTTTGTAGCCTAGGAGCAACAGGCTATATCATATGGCCGATGTGTGTAGTAGGTCATACCATTTAGGTTTGTGTAAGTACACTATGACATTCACACAATGACAAAATCACCAAATAATAAACTTTGCAGAATGAATCCCCATCGTTAAGTGGTGCACACTGTACTGAAACAGGCACTATGTTAGGTACCAAATAAAGACAAAGACACTACTGCTCTTAATGAAATTTCATTATTACTTCACCTTTTCTAGTTCTTCTTAGAACTTTAGTCTCATGATCTCTCTTAACAAGAAATATCCACATGAGGGCTAGACATGGTGGCTCATACCTGTAATCCCAGCTGTTTGGGAGACCAAGACAGGAGGATCACTTAAGCCCAAGAGTTAGAGACCAGCCTGAACACCATGACAAAACCCCATCTTTATGGGTGAAAAAATAATAACAATAATTGGCTGGATGTGGTGGCACATGCCTGTAGTTCCAGCTACTCGGGAGGCTGAGGTGGGAGGATGGCCTGACCCTGGGAGGTCAAGGCTGAAGTAAGCCATCATCACTGCACTCCAGCCTGGGTGACAGAGTGAGACCTTATCTCCAAAAAAAAAAAAAAAAAGAAAAAGAAATATTCACATGAAATGGTAGAGAAATTCCAGCCTAACACTTAATTCAGCACCACTTACAAAGTACCTATTAGAAGACTAAAATATTAAGCAGGAACCACTTAACTCTAAACTCAACTACAGATCTCACTGGCTCACAGTCACCTGGGAGGCATCAGATACAGGCAGATCTGCCTCTCAGAGTAAGTCTCTGTCCTCTACTATATGAAAACAGCAGGGAATCAGAAAGCCATGAGCTCAATTCTTGGCTCAAACTCTAGAATCTTCACAAGGTATGCCTTTCCTTGATTAGATCCAGGGCCAATTAACCCATCTCTATTTCTGCTATTGACAAAAAAACAATATTTTTTTTTGAGATGGAGTTTTGCTCCTGCTGCCAAGGCTGGAGTGCAATGGTGCAATCTCAGCTCACCACAACCTCTGCTTCCCGGGTTCATATGATTCTCCTGCCTCAGCCTCTAGCGGGGATTATAGGCATGCGCCACCACTCTTTGCTAATTTTTGTATTTTTAGGAGAGACAGGTTTTCTCCATGTTGGTCAGGCTGGTCCTCAAACTCCTAACCTTAGGTGATCTGCCTGCCTCGGCCTCCCAAAGTGCTGGGGTTACAGGCATGACCGACTTTTATAAGGAAAGAAAGTAATTTTACCTTTCAGTAGATTCCAAAAAAGAAATACAAGTTTCATTTTTTTTAGTGTTTCTTTAAATTTTAAATATTCTCTCAGATATGAAAACACTGCCATATTCTTAGAGCTACAGAAATTCCACCTTCTATAAAAATGAATGGCAGCGGCTGGGCGCGGTGGCTCAAGCCTGTAATTCCAGCACTTCGGGAGGCTGAGGCGGGTGGATCACGAGGTCAAGAGATCAAGACCATCCTGGTCAACATGGTGAAACCCCGTCTCTACTAAAAATACAAAAAATTAGCTGGGCATGGTGGCACGTGCCTGTAATCCCAGCTACTCAGGAGGCTGAGGCAGGAGAATTGCCTGAACCTAGGAGGTGGAGGTTGCAGTGAGCCGAGATCGTGCCATTGCACTCCAGCCTGGGTAACAAGAGTGAAACTCCGTCTCAAAAAAAAAAAGAATGGCAGCAGACGAGCTGAAAGGACTCATGTGGCAGGCCAACAAAAAGGGCACTACCCAGGAACTTCTGTTTCCCCTCCTGCCTCCTATCCTCCACTCACATCTCTATTATAGCACCACTCAGGTGACATCTTCCCAAACAGAATAAATACCTCAGGAAAAATGACCACAGTTCTTGTGTTTCTATATTCCTAGCACCTACCATAGTGTACAGCATTAACAGATACTCAATAGAAAAAAACAAATAATAAAGAAATATGGGGAACATGTTTCTAATAGGCAGATTCGAATGAATCTAATTAGATTGAATATGAAGAAAATGGCTACTTCTCTCTGAATGGGTAAGAATTTAATTATTGGGCCGGGCATGGTGGCTCACACCTGTAATCCCAGCACTTTGGAAGACCTAGGCAGGCGGATCATGAGGTCAGGAGTTCGGGACCATCCTGACCAACATGGTGAAACCCTCTCTACTAAAAATACAAAAATTAGCCAGTCATGGTAATGAATGCCTGTAATCCCAGCTACTCAGGAGGCTGAGGCAGGAGAATTGCTTGAACCCGAGAGGCAGAGGTTGCAGTGAGCTGAGATCGTGCCACTGCACTCCAGACTGGGTTCAGTCTTAACATTTCCCTAAAAGACTGCAGTTAATATTTAGCTCTTCCAGGCAGCAAAATGGCATACTGAGAGGGATGAGTTATAGGAGCAGCACCAGGCTGCATGACTAGGTAGAAAAGGTGTCAGAAAAATTTAATGAGCCTGGAAAGGACAACACGTTTTTTTAAAAACTGACTAAAACTATGCTTATTAAGATCATGAACTCTGTTAACATTAATGGACTGAACTTGGAACATTCTATGCAATTCAAATGGTCTAAAAACATTTTAGAAATGGAAAAGATTCAAGAAGTATAACTAAGCATGAAAACTGAAGGTACCTTAAGTGATTATTCTACTTGAACCCACTAATTTTACAGATGAAAACCCGAAGCCAACAGTAGTTAAATGATTTGCCAAAAATCACCTAGTTGATCTGTAGCACAGCTGGGATTAATCAGACCCCTAACTTCATTCCACAGTGCTGCCTTATTCACATCTTTTTTTTTTTAAGAGATGGAGGAGGTCTCTCTCTGTCTCACAGTCTTGAGTGCAGTGGCAATCATAGCTCCCTGAAGCCTCAAACTCCTGGGCCCCCCCAACTCTCCTGAGTAGCTGGGATTTCAGGTACGCACCAGGTCTTACTTTTTTTAGATGAGCAAAAATCAAGTGATTAGGTCCTATCGATGTGAAAAACAAAAAGGTTTAGAATGGAGGTTCTTAAACCACGGATAGGCTGAAGAGAGCCCACACACCCTCCAAAGCAGCATTTTTCTATGGAGAGGATGGCTGTATTTCAAAGGAATCATGAATCAGAATAAATTAAGAACTCAGTGCTTTAGGAGAATGGCAGCAACAGATGAAATCAAAGATTATGAATGGGTTGGAAAGATGTTTACCTAACAACAGTATACTAGAATGAAGAATGGTCAACTCTTAAAACTCAAAAAAAATAGCTTTAGAAAAAAAAAATTTAAGGCAGCACTCCTGCAACACAGAGTTTTCCTTCTAACTGCTGCCACTGCAACAGAGTTTCTCTGTCAGCTTCCACCTCTAACAAAAGCAACAGGAAAAAAAAAGATCCTGGTAATTTCAAGCAATGTGGAGTGATTAATACCCATGAGATACTATCACATTTGAAATGCAAAGAACAAAAATGGAATTCATTACCCTAAAGTAAATAAGAAAGGGCTTAAAAAGCTTAGACAAAATTATGGCTAGCAGCACCATTAAAGATGCTGAGTTTGACACCATTAAGACAACCTCAGGATGTCCCTGGTACATTTTTTTTTGGGGGGGGGGGAGATGGAGTCTTGCTCTGTCGCCCAGGCTGGAGTGCAGTGACTCGATTTCAGCCCACTGCAACCTCCATCTCCCAGGTTCAAGCAATTCTCCTGCCTCAACCTCCCAAGTAGCTGGGAGTACAGGTGCATACCCCCATGCCCAGCTAATTGTTTGTATTTTAGTAAAAACAAGGTTTCACCATGTTGCCCAGGCTGGTCTCGAACTCCTGAGCTCAGGCAATCCTCCCACCTCAGCCTCCCAAAGTGCTGGGATTACAAGCATGCTCCACCGTACCCAGTGTCCCTGGTACTTTTATGGAACCCAGGAACCCGGGCTGGCTGGTGGACTGTGAACCCCTCAAAATGGCATACATTATGCTCTCATGTAACCTCGTTAATACTCTCAGCAGTGGCCTCAACTCTCTTAGGGCCTGGCCAGCTGAAAACACATACCTTTAGAATGCTCTGTGTCAGGATGCAAGACAATGCGGACATATTTGAGATCTCCAAACTGTTGGAGAAGCTCCCCTAGTTCTTCTTCGTCTGAATCAAAGGACAGATTTCTATGGAAGACAACCAGATGATCACATCAAAGGTCAATTACATGTTCCAGGACAATGTCTCCCTTGTTCACAAATAGCACTAATACATAGAGATGGCCCCCAGTGGCCCTTGGCCCCAACTGTCTTTCCTTTGTCAATCAAGTTCTCTTTCTCAGGAATCTGAAAACATAAACAGACATATACAAACACCAAACTGTAGGTACAGATTCATTTCAAAACAGTGGTGCCCCATGCCAGGGAAACTTCTGGGGTGCTGGAAATTTCTACATTTTAATCTGGGTGGTGGCTACATGGATGAATACATATAAAATTTTAGCTGAGCTGTATGCTTAATGTACTTTACAGAATATGTTATACTTTAAAAGAAAAAAAAAGTGATAGCCCGGAGAAAAGACCCACATTCTCCATCACCTAGGGCCCCAGAACTGCCCAGATTTTCAGCCTCTTCCTGAGGCTTGCTGGCAACTTTTTCTGAAACCCTCTTTTTCAATTAAATTGGCCAAAATTCATTTCTCTTACTAGAAACTAGAAGATTCACAGGAGACTAGTGAAAAAAGTCAAATTCTCTTTCTCAATTAGCCAGTTTTTCTTCTGTGTTGCTATTAAATCCACGTTTCAGTTGAAATCTTACAAAAGTCAGAAAATTATTCAAAATAGTAACATAAAAGCAAACACAGTAAAATTTACTAAGTCCAAAAAAAGAAAACTACTTACTTCTCTTGAAGGGATTAAAAAATGTTAGAAGGAGATTTTGTTGTCCTAAAATTGCAACACAGTATAAAGATTCCTCATTTCCCCAACTATTTAATCCTTCCAGGAGGAAAAAAAACAGTCCCTAATAAGTATCTATGACTTTACTTCTCTTCTATGCACTAAACAGCCTCATGAATGATTCTATTTCATGGATAACCCAGATAAAAAAGGTTTCTGCAATAAGACATATCCTAGCTACATTATTTCTTTTAATTTGCTTCATCATATACATGGTTTTCTCTCTTCCACCCCTTTATTTTCCTAAGTTCTTTATTATTTAAAAGGTGTATAAGGAACGGTATCCTTAGTACTGAGGTCACACGCTTCTTCCTTACTGTGACATTTCTTTCTTCCTGTTAGATCCTCCACAAATACAAAATTATTTATATGACAGTTACAAATAACACAATTTTTTAAATATATGGAAAGACATGCAGTTAGGTGAGAAAATGGGGTTCAGTACAGCATGTATAAATTCATCTCTGTTAGGGTTAAGGTTAGGGTTAGGGTTAAGTTTATGATGTGGGCATGTAGTATAGGTGTTCTCTGAGTAGTGATTAAAGGGTTTTTTTTTTCTTTTTGCTCATGTATTCATCAATTTCCTAGAATGAACATAAACTGTATAACAATTTTTTTTTTTTTGAGACAGAGTCTTGCTCTATCACCCAGGCTGGAGTACAGTGGTACAATCCCAGCTCACTATAACCTCCACCTCTGGGCTTTAAGCAATTCTCGTGCTTCAGGCCTCCCAAGTAGCTGGGGTTATAAGCGCATGCCACCACGCATGGCTAATTTTTGTATTTTAAGTAGAAATGGGGTTTCGCCATGTTGGCCAGGCTGGTCTTGAATTGGCCTCAAGTGATCTGTCTGCCTTTACCTCCCAAGATGCTGGGATTACAAGCGTTGAGTACCGTGCCCAAAAAAAAACAATTTTAAAAGACTGCATAAGAAGATAAAATATATACCTCTAAAATCAGACCCAAATGACCCTAGTATGCTGGTACTTTAGAAAGACTAGAAGGCATGCATGAGGTGTACTAAAGACATCCTAACCTTATGAAAGCAGCAATCTGTTGCAGTCAGTAGAGCTAAACAGCAACAGCAACATGAAATAAAGCCTATCTCCATCCCTACTCCCACCCCGTTTTCCTGGAAACAGATGAGATGCCTTACTTTATTGTGGACCCTGCATCGGAAGATAAGTTAGGCATAAAGACAGAAATTATTTGAGATAAGCAGTTACTCCTCCCCAGCACTCCCCCTAAAACAAAGGCCAGAAGCAAGATGTTTCTAACAGTTGAATTGATTTCTTATAAATGATGCCAACCCAATTACAAAGCATGAAATCTAGATGAAGACATGATGTCAGGACCCATGCTATCTGTCTTCTGTGTTATAGTTCTGATTGTCCTACATTTCTCATTGTTTGGTATGTTCCTGGGACCAGATGTGCTTGATCTAATTTTCTGGGCTAGGTAACAGAACTGGTGCCAAAAGGAGAAGGAAAAGGAGGAGGAGAGATCTATGGAGACAACACAAAAGCAATTCTGGAGGTAGAAAGGCATACCTGATAAAAACAGTTTTCCCTTCATTCACATCAGAGGGTAATTTCCTCTTCTTTTTGTTTGAGACTTGCACAGCTAAGGTAAAAAGAAAAACAAGAAACTGAAAGAGACTAGCATAAGCACATGACAAAGAGCTAACTTCTGTACATAAAGATCTTACATAAACTGTTAAAAGAAAAAAACAATTAAAATAGACAAAGGAGGCCAGGCACATGCTTGTAATCCCAGCACTTTGGGAGGCCGAGGCAGGTGAATCACCTGAGGTTAGGTGTTCGAGACCAGCCTGGCCAAAACAACAACCCATTTCTACTAAAAACAGAAAAATCAGCTGGTGTGGTGGCAGCTGCCTGTAATCCCAGCTACTCAGGAGGCTGAGACAGGAGAATCACTTGAACCTGAGAGATAGAGGTTGTGGTGAGCCAAGATTGAGCCATTGCATCCCAGCCAGGGCAACAAGAGTGAAACTCAGTCTCAAAAAAATAAATAAAAGTAGGCAGAGGACATGCAATTAAGTACATGAAAAGATGTTCTAACTCACTCTTAATTAAAGAAAACATAGCACAAGAAATGAGATACTATTTTTCACCAACAGATTGCAAAATCAAAAAGACAGATGGAATCCAATGTGGTAAGGGTATGGGAAAAAGACATTCCCGTACACTATGACAACAGTGTAAACTTTCTGGAAATACTGTACAGGACACAGGAACCTTTGAGGAAAAACATACACACACAGTCACACACAAATTATAAAAAACCACTATTTCGAGTGTGTATATGTATGTATATGTGTGCAGTTTGCTTATAAATGTATTAAAATATCTCTAGATACACCAGAAACAAATAACCTTGTTTGTCTCTGAGGAAGCTCCCTAAGAAGCTGATGATCTGGGTATAAGGGAGACTCATGTTTGTTTTCAAGAACAGACATATATGCTTCTATATACAAAGAAAATATCTGGAAGGATACACAAGAAACAACAGTGATTACTTCGAGGAATTGTTGGGATTGGTGAGGAACTTTTGCGTATTACACTCTTCTGTATTGTGTTTTTTATTAACTTTCTCTCATTATCATTTATCTGTCCTATAAGTTTTTCAGTTGAAAGAATGGCATGAGACAGCTGACTGGGTTATAGAATACAGAGCCTCATAGTCCCTTCAGTGTAAAAGCTTCTTTGATTCTAAGGCATATACCATTTTCTCCTCACAGAAAAAGCTTATTTCCTCAGATGTTTTTATATGGTCAAACCAACATTCCAGACTTACTGAAATGGAATCAGAATAAAAATAGCTGAATAAAAATCTCCAGCCAGACAAATCAAAGAACAACCAGTTATTAACCATTTCTCATTCTGTAATGACCTGCCTTCCTCAATAAACAAGTTGAATTTATTCTCAATAAAGGCAGCAATAAGGATTGGCTAAAGTTTTACAACATGTTCAAAGAGTTCCTTGCTATGAAATGCTCTGTGTTCCCCCAAAATTCATATATCGAAGCCCTAACCCCAAACGTAACTATATTTGGAAACAAAGACTTTAGGGAGGTAACTGCGGCTAGCTTGCTCTTAAGGTTGGGACCCTAATCTGATAGGACTGCTGTGCTTATAAGAAAAGAGAGACCAGAGCTCACTGTTACTCGTTCTCTCTCTCCCCCAATTCAAGCACACAAAGAAAACGCCATGCAAGGACATAGTGAGAAGGCAGCAGTCTGCAAGCCAAGAAGAGAGCTTCACCCAAAATGGAATCAGCTGGCATCTGGGACTTCTAGCCTCCAGAGCTGTGAGAAAATAAGTTTCTGTTGTTTAAGCCACCTAGACAATAGTACTTTGTTATGGCAGTGCAAGCTGACTATACAGCTCTTCATCCTCACCGTAACTCAAAGGAGTTGTTTAAAATCTACCTTGGAATTCAGATTGTTATATCATCTGTTTCTTCTATATTATCTGTGTAAGATGCTGTTTATCTGGTTATTCAATCAAGTTGGACAATCCAGAGAGAGGCAGAACCTCACCATTAAGCTAGGTCTTAAATTCTCTAAGAATCTTAACCCTCAAACACCACTCCAAAACTCATTTAAAAATCAAAACAAAAAGGAAACAACAAAAAAATCTTTGGAAGAAAGGAGTATAAAAGTTTCCTTTTCTGCATTTAAACACAATTTGATAGACCACCTCAGAGTCCTATTTAAAAAGAGGCCTAAGCAGAACTCATGTTCATTTCAGTAACTTCAGTAATTTCTAAAGACCATTTAAAGTGAAAACCCAAGTGAACCTTTATCCTCTTGCTCCTCAGTGCTGCTATCACTCTGAGCCAGTTCCTCTCCATCATCAATACTATCGCTTTCCTCCAGGTCACTGTCCTCCTCAGAATGATCTTCACTGCTTTCTGCGGAGGCTGTTCTCTTGACTGCTCTGCAAAGGCACAGATCAGAACTAAGGCTGTGCGCTGACAGAGGGGCCTATTCAATTTCATTACACATGTCAATTCTGCAATGATGCAGGCAGAAAAAGGAGAATTTTTCTTCTCAGAGACAATCTTGAATTTTCCTCTGCTGTCTCAGAATAGGCTGAGCTGCTTACCTCTTCTGAATTTGCACAGGCTTGGTCACCTTTGATTCTATATTCTCCTCCCCTTCATCTTCATCATCATCAACCTCGTCATCATCATCATCACCATCATTGTCATCATCATCATTTTCTTCCTCCTCCATATCCTTTTCCTCCCTGCCATTCTTTTTAACTGATTCCTGATGTTTAGATTCACGGCTCTTTTCTTCACCTATGGAGGGAAGTAAAGAAAGAAAAAGTTCATTTAATATCCAAAATGATGTTATTTTAACAAGGGTAACCAATACTCCAAGTTGGTGGTTTCCTTGGTTTTACAGAATTTCATATATTTTTCTTACTGTATATAACAGGAGAAAGTATAAAGAAAAAAAAAGCAAAAATAGAAATAAACAAAACTCCCATCACCCAGATTCCATTAGAATTTGTCCTATTCATCACCCTGAAGGTTCATCTGGCCCAGACTAAAAGAAGTGGCAACTGAGCCTCTGCAAACAGCCAACCATTCATACACCACAGCCATCAAAATGCTCACTAGGGGGCAAAGCCAAGCCATGAACTTCAATCTCAGTGCATTCTATTCTCTGAGACCCTGGTGGCTTAACAGCCAATTGTTTTCTAAATAAAACTCAAGTTTTAAGTTTCTCTGTTCTTAATGTTCCATAACTCCTATTATGCAAAGCTTGGAAAGAACAGCAAGTAAAGGGGACAATGAGCTCAGGCTCACTCACAGCCACTCCCAGGAGGGGGTTTAGACTCAAAAGAGCCTAGGTTTTGGGACCAGAACACCAGATGGTACAATATGAATTGACAAACAGACGTGGACTCTTCTGAGCCAGCAAGAATTTAGAGTTTTCCCTGAAAGCTCAGTCTCACTCTTTTGGTTAATCTTCTACAATAGTCTCACTCTGACAAGCAAGTTCTCATACACTTTTTTTTTGAGAGAGTCTTGCTTTGTCACCCAAGCTGGAGTAAAGTGGGGTGATCTCGGCTCACTGCAACCTCTGACTCCCAGTTTCCAAGTAGTTGGGATGAAAGGCTCCCGCCACCTCCCAGCTGATTTTTGTATTTTTAGTAGAGATGGGGTTTTGCCATGTTAGGCAGGCTGGTCTGAAACTCCTGACCTTAAGCAATCCACCCACCTTGGCTTCCCAAAGTGCTGGAATTATAGGCATGAGACACTGCACCTAGCCTTTTTCTTACACTTTTATCATGAACACAGTTGTTTCGCTACTCTTGCCCAGGTTATACGACACCCCCACTCACCCAACACTACCACATCTTACCTAGAGCAGAAATAGACTGTGTATCTTTATATATATCCTTTGCCACAGCCCAATCCACTGCCACTGTCCTCCCTGTCAAACAGAAAAGTGGTATCAGAAAGGCTGTGGTTTTAACATCCCTACCTCTGTAAAGGACCCCTAGTCATCACAGACAATAATGGAACCAGTAGAGACAAAGAAACTGTCAATTCAGGAATGCCGGTCTTTAAATAAAGCTCCTAGTTGCTGCCTACTCCTCTTAACCCTTAACCTTTTTATCAATGAACAGAAATTTTGCCTTTCTACACAGCCACCACACCTGGGATGAGACGGAGTAAAAACATAAAGAATTAGAACTATGTTCCCAGTTAGAGTATCAAGAATCAAAACAGGCATTCTGGAATCACCTGAACCTCCTCAGAAGCTAGGCTGTCTCTACAGCAATAATATCTTTTTCTTTTTTTTTTTTGAGATGGATTCTTCCTCTGTCGCCCAGGCTAGAGTGCAGCGGTGCGACCTTGGCTCACTGCAACCTCCGCTCCTGGGTTCAAGCGATTCTCCTGCCTCAGCTTCCCGAGTAGCTGGGATTACAAGCATATGCCACCACACCAGGCTAATTTTTGCATTTTCAGTAGAGACAGAGTTTCGCCATGTTGGCCAGGCTGGTCTTGAACTCATGACCTCAGGTGATCCACCCACCTCGGCCTCCCAAAGTGCTGGGATTACAGGCGTGAGCCACCACACCTGGCCGGCAATAACTTCTTTAGGCACAATACCTGATAAGTCATTATGTAGAGTAGCCTCACAGTCAGTTTAATAAATAGGCCACAGATGATCATAACTAAGAAGGAACCTAGATACCAACCTGTATCTATCAGCAATTATTTCAGGGACATTTTTCACTAGGGATTTAAAAGGACACTCTCACCAAATAAATGAAAGAATACTGGCAAGGGTTCTTTCAAGTTTAACCCTAAGATCAAGTTCCAGGAATATTTCACCTAAATAGCTACCATATTAGCAATGAGACTCTCAACAACGCAAACATCTTTTGAAAACGCAGAAAGTGGGTTACTATACTAATTCACCGAGACACCAAAAATATCTGGGTCAATGACATGGGAATAGAAAACTTACCTTTTATCTCTTTCATGTTCATGCCTTTGAGAGCTTTACCTGCTTCTAGGAGGTTTTTGAACTGAACAAAAGCAAAACCACGCATCTTCCCATCTGTGTGCAAATGTACAAAGAAGTGAGAGGCAGCAGGAGGTAGCCAGAAGAATACTAAGAAGGAAGTTACTGCAATTCGGGCCTGCAAGATGGCCCAAATCCTGCCAGCAGGCCAGCCCATTCCCCAAAGCAACTGCTTACATCTTCTTACTGAGTATACTCTGACTTGGACTTGGGGAGAGCAATGCACTTTCTCTAACTAGTCTTCTGAAACTAATTGTGATCCAACGGAAAATGTCACTGGGGGGATAGAACCATTATTTGGGTTTTCATTAGTTGTCAAGCACTGAGCCATATATTTTACATGTATCACACATATTTGTTCAAGGGTAATATGCCAACTAACATAATTCACATCAAGTGAAGGTTCATTAGTACCTGGCTTCCTAGGGATATTTACTTCCAGTACAGCTCCAAATTGAGCAAATACTGTCTTCAACTCATCTTCTGAACACTGAAGCCAAAAGTTAAGAAAGAAAAAGAGAAATACAATCACAGCAAATTAACATAAAGTATCAATTACTAATTCATTAATCATGAAAAACATGAATATGTTCACTTCTTTTACTTTTGAAACATCAAATGTTTCTAAATAGAAGACGTTTTACTTTGTATCTAAGAGGCGAAAAGACAGACATCTGAGAGCTTTTTCTATCTTTTCTTTCTCAGCAGTAGTTTCCCCAAAAAGGAAAGCAGCTTCACACTTAATACCCGTATTACACAGGCCCACTTTCTGAATCCAACAGGGGTAAGGTTCATTCCCAGAAGGAATTCAGCCCAATTATACCATCTTGGTGAGGAGTTCTACTAATGATCACATCCTGGCTCTAAAAGCCTTCAAACATGCAATGTTTGTTTTCTCTCTCACTTACCTTAAAGCTCAGGTTCCGAATAATTAACCTGGCTTTCTTATCTGCCACTTTGGCTTTTTTAGGCTTCAGCTCCTTCTTTGGGACCTCTGAGTTTTCTACAAAATAAGAGGTAATGGAATAAGTGCTCCAAAATCACCCACTTCTAGGCCAGAACATCACAGAACAAAAGCTCCTGGTGACAGATGCCATTTACCACAGGGTTAAGCGTGGCAATACCAAGGAATACCAGATTTTTCAGACTGAGATGCAACAAAAGAACTAAAATGAGTATCACAATACAATGGATGATTCTGGAGATCAAAAACAAATGCCAAAAGCTTTAAGTTCTAGAAGCTATCACCATGCCTCCCTCTCAGTTTCACAGTGCTCCTCAGCCTGGAAGAAAAACTTCCTTCAATTACTAGAACTCACCACTTTTCCCCTTTTCCTTTGTCTTGTTCCTCAGTTTTTTCTTGGCAACAGTCAGGTTGATCTTGCAACCTTCAAAAGTGGTAATCTCCTTGAGGGCCCTCTGAACATCTTCCAGCATAGAAAAAGTGACATAGCCAAAGCCTCGACAGGTCTTACTCCCTGGAATAATGCAGTGCGGGGAGGGGCAGTGTGAAAAGGAGAGAAAATCATAAGCCAAGAGAACTCAATTCGAAAATCCTCAAAGTCTAAGCTAGAGGCTATACTCCCAACCCACCTTGCTATCAGTTTGCTAAAAGTCTCAGGAAGAAAAGAAACAAGGGTGGTATCAGTGGTTCCATTCCCACTTTGCTTAGAAACCATTAGCCTTCCTACTCTTAATTTGGTGTCTTGGCTGTTAGCTCCTCTTCTTCCCCCTTTCCTGATAATCCCAAGAGCACAGAGGTTCCATAATATATTAGGCCCTCAAAGAACTCAGCATCACAAAGAACAAAACATCATCAGAGAAGGCAAGAAAGGTAAGTATGTGCTATGGTTTGAATGTGTCCCCCAAATTTCATGTGTTGGAAACTTAATCCCCAATGTAGCACTATTGAAAGGTGGAATCTTTAAGAGGTTTTTGGATCAGAGGGCTGTCTTCAGGAATGCATTAATCAATTATGGATTAACGGGCAATCATGACAGTGAAGCTGGCAGCTTTATAAGAAGAGGAAGAGAGATCTGAGCAAGCACATTAGCATACTCAGCCCACTTGCCATGTGACACCCTGCACCGTCTTGGGATTTTGCAGAGTCCCCACTAACAAGAAGGCTCTCACCATATACAGCCACTAGACTTTGGAATTCTCTGCCTCCAGAACTGTAAGAAATAAATTTTTCTTTATAAAGTACCCAGTTTCAGGCATTCTGTTATAAGCAACAGAAAATGGACTAAGAGAGTCTGGTAGCTTCAAAAATCAGAACACAATGATGCAGTCACTCCTCAAAACAGATCAGCAATAATAAATGCCTGAGGCCCTGACAAAGAACCTCAAATAATAAATACTGCCCAGAGAGACTGTAGAAGTTATGACCACTATTACCAATGCCTTAGCTGTCAATATCAAATTAAACCTTTTCCAAAGCAGCTATGAATTCTTATCGATTTTATCTTCAGAACACCTCAAAATAGGTGAAGCAAATATTACCACTCCTTTCCAAATAAATAATTTGAGACGGAAGAAAGTAAGTGAACTGGTTAAGGTCACGTACGGTGTTAGCAGCTGAATTAACTCCTCCTTACCAGCCCCCATGTTCTTCCATAGGACTCCACAAAAAACAGTATGAGGACCAAGCAGATGAAAATTACAAATATCAACTGTAACCCACCTTTGCCCTTTCTGGTTTAACATTTTGGATAGATTTTAAATAATTTACTGCATCAAAAAGGAAAAGGACAGATTGAGCAGTCTGCCTTTACCTGAAAAGGAAACAGAGCTCAACTGCTCTGGTTCTGTTCCCACTACATTTGAATCTGCTTTAGGGTATAAGCCCTTTGACGCAGGACACTGATCTACGTAAACTAGTTAAAGCAACATGACATCAGTTTTTCTCTTCTCTTGGAACCCCCTGTCATAAAAGCTGCCTGCTCACCTTTCAGAAAATGAGAACAAGAAAATTCATAGCCCTTCCTGATCAGTACTATCAAAAGTAAAGCAGCTGAAAATGTAAAGGAGTTCGACACCCAAATAAAAGGACATACAGTAAATACCACACATTTTACATGTCTGCATAAAGCATGCTCACATACATTTAGAGTCCCTGACAACCCTGTGAAATTATTCCCATCTTAAAGAGCGGAAGTGACCTGCACTGCTATGGAGGAAGACTTCACTCCACATACCCTCCCTCCCGTTTCACTGAGAGCAGCACTCTTTCCAGTGCATCTCAGCTGTCTGGAGAGGAAAGTGCATAGTTTTTAAAAAAGAAAGTAAGAGATTTTTAAGGATTTAGACCAAGTAGACAAGGTTTAAGGTAAGGTTACATGTAGCCTATATTCTGAGGACTCAAAGGAGAACTTCCATTCAATGGTCTGTTCTTCCCTGGAATACAATCACCTGGCACTGCATAGTACTCGCTGTACGGAATGTAACTTATACTGAAACCCAGTACATACATATATTCTTTATTTAAAACTTAAAAGTTTTACAAATATTTATACTTTACCATATATGGATTTACTACTATACTATTTAATTTGTTAAAAACTCTAGGCCAGGTATGGTGGCACACACCTGTAATCCCAGTGTTCTGGAAGGCCAATGCAGGAGGATCATTTGAGATCAGCCTGGGCAACATAGTGAGACCCTGTCTCTACAAAAATATTCAAAAATTGGCCAGGCATGGTGAAGCATGCCTGTAGTCCTAGCTACTTAGGAGGCTGAAGTAGGAGGATTAATTGAGCCCAGGAGTTTAAGGTTACATTGAGCTATGATCTCACCCCTGCACCCCAACCTTGGTTGAAAGAGCAAGACCCTGTTTTCTAAAACAAAACAAACAAAAAAACTCTAGTCATGACCCACTCAAGACCCACTAGTAGGTAATAATCTGTGTTTAATAAACACTACTGTACAGCACTTTCAGTCTCTATTTTAAGTATTTAAGCTTCTGTCCTATTCTCCAGCAGTCTATTCACAACACACCAGCCAGAGACTCTTCCAAAATGAAAGTCAGATCATACTTACTACTCTCTGCTTAAAATCGGTGGCTTCCTATCTCTGAGTAAAAGCCAAAGTCCTTGCAATGGTCTCTAACATCCTACATGAGGTGAGCAGATCACCTGAGGTCAGGAGATAGAGACCAGCCTGGCCAACATAGCGAAACCCTGTCTCTACTAAAAATACAAAAATTAGCCGGGCATGGTGGCACTTGCCTGTAATCCCAGCTACTTGGGAGGCTCAGACAGGACAATCACTTGAACCAGGAGGCAGAGGTTGCAGTAAGCTGAGATGGCTCCACTGCACTCCAGTCTTAGAGACAGAGCAAGAAGCAGTCTCACGCACACACACACACACAAAATCCTACATGATCTGCTACTCTCCATCTTGTCTCCTGACCCTTTCCCTTCACTCACTTCACTCCAGTCACCCTGTCCTCCTTGCTACTCCTCCAATATACCAGGCATATCTCTGCTTCCGCATCTTTGCGCTTGCTGTTTCCTCTTCCGGAATTTTCTCCTCCCAAGAGGCATATGTTCACTCTCTCACCTCAGTCAGTCCTTCTCTGGCCACCTTATCTATATTGCCATTCTTCACTCCCTCTCCCCACTACACACATGAACATAGACTACCCAACCCCTTTCCCTGACTTATTTTTCTCCTTAGCATTTGACACAGTTTTCACTACACAACTGGCTTACTGGTGGTCTTCCCCACCTTGAAGATAAAAGAGCAAAGTTTTTTGGTTTGGTATTGTGCACTGCTGCATCCCCAGGACCTACAACACTTCCTGGCACACAGTAGGTATTCATTAAGTATCTGCTGAATAAATGAATGAACGAATGGGTAGCATTCTGGCTAAGATGTAAAGGTCTGAGGATCAAATTCGGGGTCCACTACTTAATAGCTGTACGAACTTACTAACGTTACTAAATTCCCCTAAATCTCAGATTCCTGTCTGTAAAATGAGATTAAGATTCACCATCTGGTAAGATTACTGAGAAAATGAAATGAGATAAACTGTATCAAACTGATCACTGTATCTGGCAATCAAGTGACTCTCAATAAGCCTTACTGATGCTCTACTTAACTATTTTCAATAGCGCGCATACTCAACAGAAAGCGCTATAGAAACGTAAGGGAATGCTTTGTTTTTCATATACTGACCCCTATGAACGCATCTAAAGCAGAATCAGTCTGGAAAAGAAACTCAGTTCCCAGTTCCTTCTCTTCGGGGCGGGTAAAGAATGATACGACTCCCTGAAGTTTGGAAAGGTGCCCTCGCCCCCATCTCGCTCCCAGGAAACCCCAGCCCTATTCTCGACCGCCCCGCCCCCTACCTTTTTCAGTGACCACGAAGCACTGCTTCACCGGCCCCACCTGACTGAACAATTCCTCCAGCTGCTCACTGCGGGCCGAGGGCGGGAGGCGGCCCACAAATAGGGTCAGACCGGCCATGAGACCGGGAAACCCAAAGTGCGTGAGGACGCGAGCTAACCCGGCCGGCGCACGGGAGCCAAATGTGCCGGCGCACACGAGGCGAGAAGCTGACTTTGGTAGGAAGACCCGCCGGGAGACTCCGGAAGTGCTCGTTGCTCAAAAGGCACCGGAGGAAAACACGGTGGGGAGGGGGATAAAAGGTTCCGGAATGAAAAAAAATGGTGCCCTGGGCGGAGCTTCTGGAGCGAGGCTCCGCCCCCTGCCCTAAACTTGGCATCAACAATTTCTACCCTAGTGTTACAGCTTTTTTAGAATTTGCCCGGCAGGCTTTCTGGTTTTTGCTAGAAAGCCCCCCCAAAAGCAATAATCTTAACATAAAAAATGAAAATAAATAAACAATTTCTACCCCGATTAAAATCTCACCTCCAGATCCTCCCCACAGTTAGCAGGACCAGTGGGAGAAGTCGTTTTTGCCCCGGGCCTAACTCAGGATCTGATGCATAATGGGTGTTTGCTATTTTCTGAATCGCCTCCACAAATTTCCAGATTACATGCATAAAACACAATCGGAACACAAAGACTAGACATAGGTATGTCATATACGTCATTTGAACAATTCTCATTCTCAGAGGACATTAGCTCTCTGTCACCCCAGCCTCAGAAATAAATTGCTACTAAAGTACACATAGACACAGACTGTACACAATTATTCTTTCAATAAATATGTACTGAGCTCCAACTATGAGCCAGGCATTTGAGATAAAACTGGTGAGCAAAGAAAAGACTGGGTCCCTGCCCTCATGGAGATTACAGTCTAATGGGGGAAACAGATATATTTTTTTTTTGACAGGGTCTTACTTTGTCACCCAGGCTGGAATGCATTGGCACAATCTCGGCTCACTGCAGCCTCGACCTCCCAGATTCAAGCAGTCCTCCTGCCTCAGCCTCCCGAGTAGCTGGGACTACAGGTGCACCACCACATCTGACTAAGTTTTGTATTTTTTGTAGAGACAGGGTTTCACCATATTGCCCAGGCTGGTCTCAAACTCTCGAGCTCAAGCAACCCGCCTCCCTCAGCCTCTGAAAGTAATAGGATTGCAGGCATGAGCCACCACATCTGCTGGGAAGACAGATATTAGTCCAAAAATACTTAAAAATAAATCACAGCACACACATTGGAGGACCACATTGAACACACTCAAAGGAAACGTAACATCCAGCTTATACACAGAGACCTAGAATGCAGGTCCTCCTAGAAACAGAAGATCTTTTCCTCAAGTCGGCTCATCAGACAGACCCAAGACTGAGAGAGCTTAACTGGCTGGGAGATCTGGGTGCTCCTGGATTCTGGAACAAAGAGAGTGTTTGCCATGCCACTGGGTTCAGGACCTGAATAGGTGTAAGACAGCTACACCTTGCAGAACGGCTAGCTACAAAAAAAGTACCCAAGGCCATTTTTTACTTTTTTTTTTTTTTTTTTTTGAGATGGAGTCTTGCTCTGTCGCCCAGGCTGGAGTGCAGTGGTGAGATCTCTGCTCACTGCAACCTCTGCCTCCTGGATTCAAGCGATTCTCCTGCCTCAGCCTCCAGAGTAGCTGAAATTACAGGCGCTTGCCACCATGCCCAGCCAATTTTTGTGTTTTCAGTAGAGACAGGGTTTCACCAAGTTGGCCAGACTGGTCTTGAACTCCCAGCCTCAGGTAATCAGCCCCCCTCAGCCTCCCAAAATGCTGGTATTACAGGCACCAGTAATATGTAATCACTATGAGTCACTATGCCCAGTCTAAACTTTATTTTTCAACATTAGCTCCAACAAGTTCAAAACACATTTGTAAGCAATGATACCAGCCACTTAGTTCATCAATAAAGAACTTCAGTTCTTTGGAATTTAAGCATGTCAATGCAGTCTTTTATTTTTTGCACTAATTGAAAAAACTCTTTAAAGATTTATTATTTTTATTTTTATTATTACTATTTTTTGAGATGAAGTCTCCCTCTGTCATACAGGCTGGAGTAGAATGGTACAATCCTGGCTCACTGCAACCTCTGCCTCCCTGGTTGAAGCAATTCTCCTGCCTCAGCCTCCCTAGTAGATGGGATTACTGGAACACACCACCACGCCCAGCTAATTTTTGTATTTTTAGTAGAGACGGGATTTTACCATCTTGGTCAGGCTGGTTTCAAACTCCTGACCTCAGGTGATCCACCTGCCTTGGCCTCCCAAAGTGCAGGGATTACAGGCATGAGCCACTGTGCCCAGCCAAGATTTTTTTTAAGACTGGGAAACAAAACCAAGTCAGAAGGAGCCAAATTAGGACTGTAAGGTGGATGCCTCATGATTTCCCATTAACACCCTTGAAAACTTGCCCTTGTTTGATGAGAAAAGTGAGCAGGAGCACTGTGATGGAGAAGGGCTCTCTGTTGAAGCTTTCTCTCAGGCGTTTTTCTGCTAAAGGTTTGGCTAACTTTCTCAGAACACCCTCACAATAAGCAGATGTTATCATTCTTTGGCCCTCCAGAAAGTCAGCAAGAAAAATGCCTTGTAGGCCTGGTGCAGTTGGCTGACACCTGTAGTCGCAGCATTTTGGGAGACCAAGGAGAGTGATTCTCCTAAGGTAACAGTTCAAAACCAGCTGGGGCAACATGATGAAACTCTGTCTCTACCAAAAGTACAAAAAATTAGCCAGGTGTGGTGGAGTGTGCCTATGGTCCCAGCTACTCTGAGGCTGAGGTAGGATGATTGCTTGACCCAGGCAGGCAGAGGTTGCAGTGAGCTGAGATCATGCCACTGCACTGCAGCCTAGATGAGCATGAGACCCCATCTCAAAACAACAACAACAATAAAAGTTTCAGAATAAATTTTAAAAAATAACTCAGGGCTGGGCACAGTGGCTCATGCTTGTAACCTCAGCACTTTGGGAGGCTGAGGCGATGGATCACCTGAGATCAGGAGTTTGAGAACAGCCTGACCAGCATGGAGAAACCCCGTCTCTACTAAAAATACAAAATCAGCCGAGTGTGGTGGCACATGCCTGTAATCCCAGCTACTCAGGAGGTTGAGGCAGGAGAATCTCTTGAACCCAGGAGGCAGAGGTTGTGGTGAGCCAAGATCACACCATTGCACTCCAGCCTGGGCAACAGGAGCAAAACTGTCTGGAAACACATACACACACACACACACACACACACATACACACGTCAGGAAAGGAAGCTTTAAAATACAAACAGATTTTTAAGGCTACTATGTTAATCCTATCCAGGATGAAGAGAGACAAATAGACAAAGGCAATGGGTGGACCATCTAACAAAGTTGGTTTGGGATTCCGCATCCTCCCTCTTCCTTCTCCTTCCCTCCTGACCACTCCTATCACCTTAGGAATTAAAATTCCACCCCCAAAGATTAAATTGTGAGCTTCGGAACCCCAGCTAGGAGGAAACCTTCCTGATCCAGGCTGCAGTCTGTACAAGAAAAGCAATCCTGAGATTGTTCCAATATCCTCTTTGTGAGACCCTCCGCAAATGCTACGTTTTAAGTACTTCTGACCCAAATCTTCCTTAAAGGACAAAACCAAACTGTGTCTCTATGCCCATCAGGGGTCAGCAGCCACCCACAGTGCAGTGTTCTGTGACCCTCTGGGAGGACAACAGTGCAGCTGACCCTTTCTACCCTTCCCATGGTTCAGACCTGGTTTCCCGATCTGTCTCCCAGCCCTATCCCTTCCAATCCATTTCTATCAGGGCAGGCAATGGTTCTTTCATCAGGAATATTTGCTCATCCATCTACCCAAGACACACGCAGCATTCTTTATTAAACAGCAGGAGCCGTGGAACCCTGCATCACACCAGCAGTGTAGCTTCCAGGGGAAATAAACTGCTGGCCTCCTCCTCATCCATCACTGTGCAGGAGCCAGGAAAGGAAGTAAGAGAGGCCTGGGCTGTTCTTAGCCAGCCTCTTCCAGATCCCATCCCTCTAGCTCCACTCCCCCTAGCAAGCCAAACCTTCTTATAATACAGAATAGTTCTCAGTCCTAGCAATTGTCACAACTATAATTAATTACTTTTGCTATTGTGATTATTTAGATCACTAGGTGTTTAACATCTGCCTTCCCCCAAAAGACTTTCAATTCCATAAATTCATGGCTAGTGTCCACCTTGTTCCCCTCTCTACTCCCAGCATCTGGTACATTGTAAGCATTCAGTAAATATTTTTTTAAGAGATTGATTGAATAAATGAATGAATGAATGAATGAATGAATGAAGGTGAGCTTGTCTTTCAGTCCTTACAATACCAAGACTTGGAACTGAAGGGTGTAGGCATTAGGATCTACCTGGATTCCTTCCAGGAAACCCACTTTGGGTAAGGGATGAGGCATGAGACAAAAGGGAAGGGTCCTCCAAAGTCTTGGCCTCTGTGCTCTTTGAAGTCAAAGGGCTGAGGTTATCCTTGCTGAGGAAAATCAAAGAAGTGTTGGAGCTGGTGAACAACGAGCTGTATTCAATCAGCCCCCTCCTGGCCCACCCAAATCCATTTAGAGCTGCCACACAGCAAAGGAGCGTATGTGCACAAGTGTGTGTGTGTGTGTGTGCAGTGTGTATGTGTGTGACAGAGAGAGAGAGAGAAAGCAATAGACAGGCCAACAGAGACTGGCTGGGTATGCAGGGCTTGGATTGCTCTTTTGGGAAGTGTGTGCATGGACCCAAGGATCCTTGATGGGGAGAGTGAGTGAAAGAGAGAGGAGCTGGCAAGGACCAGTGTGAGTAAGAGATGGCATTGAGGAGCTGAGTGTGAGCAGAGGCAGATGAGAGGCAGATGGAAGGGTGAGTGGGAAAGAAAGGGAGCGATTGCTCAGAGCAGCAAGCACTCCTTGCATGACACAAAGCAACTCTGATGCTGGGCCCACTGCAGCCACTATGACACCAGTGAGAAATGCCTGTAATTAGGAGGTTGGCAGTTCTCTGGGCCTCAGCCCAGAGTGAGGATGCAGCAAGAATTTCTGAGCCAAGCTGAGCCAGGTGATGGAGGAGACACAATCAAAACCATTCTAGTCCCATCCCTCCACTGCACCAGCAACATCTCCCTCCCATTTCTCTTCCCCACAACGATTCTTCCTCTCCCCTAAACACAACTGATTCCCCTCCTCCATCTGAGGTCTCAGGCCAGGA